GATGCACCTTAATTCTTGGTTTTGATTGGATGAGCGGAGAGATAAAAACAAGGCTCCACTGAATGGAAGGAAAATGGCAACAAAAACTGCCATGAATCTTGTCAAGTCTTGCTGAATGATCTTTGCAAGAGTTTTTGTGTATAGTCCTGTAGTCCTGGAAAAGATGAAAGTCTGAGTAATAGTAACGAAATGAGCTTAATTTAAATCAGAACTGTTCGTATAAGTAAACTGTTTGAGAATTGAAGATAAACTAAACTCTGGAATGATTAAAACCTCCCTTAAAAAAAAACGCAAAAGAACAGGAAAAAGAAAGGCAAATACTGCGCTTCTCTTCGCGATCGATAAATGGCTAGTTTGACACTGATCCTTATCTATTTATTTATTTGTTTATTTCAAGATTTGTACATATCGAATATATACAGGTGTTAGAACAAAAGGATATAGCATACCCTACAAGGTTCAAACACCTTACCCAACCCCATAAACCTAAAAACAAAACATATATATGATTAAATAAAAGCATCTTAACAAGAACATGCAACATCAGTAGCTCACAACCACTTTGATTGGTTAATGTTAATCGTTGCTAAATGAAATTGGCGAGTGGGAACACTAATCTTAAGATATATTTAGATGCTAGACAGGAGGCACCAGAAAGGAGTTTCAGAACATTTGGTCTATAAATTGTAACATCTAATTTACATTCAATCTTCAAACCAGAGTAGCATCAAACCATCTCTGAACATTAATCTCTAACTGAAATGAAGCATGTTTCAAAACTTTAAAATTAAAGATTTTTTAATGTGACCTACCTTGTTACACATGAGAACTTAAAAATCCTCATGAAATTAAACAAGACTGCCAAAGATGCAACGGTCCACTGAGCTTTGTTACCAATGAACCGTAAGGGAATTATACACAGGACCAACAACAGGCCTAACCAGTCAAACAGGGACATCCACTCTGAGAAGTACGAATATCTTTCTCTACAAAAATGACACGAAAAATATTAATCCCTCCATTGGATCTTTTCCTTTGGGAGAGCTTTATTCATGAACACAAGTTTTGATTTTTGTTGTAAAACACCCAGTATATGTACCACATTTGCTTAACAAAAAAGGTTTTTCTCATGGGGGAAAACAATTGTGGATGATTAAACCAACAAATGTATCTTCAATGATGTTATGTAGATAAGTCTCACTGTAATTAACTGTGTTATCAGCAATATATATCACCTACATTCTCAATTGATTCAGTTCTTCACACATGTAAAAGACAGCCATGAGAAGAGTGACAATCTCACAGAATCCACACCATAAATCTGCTGCACCCCTGTACTGGGTGGGGTCTGGTTTGGTTGACCCATATAGCAGAGAAAATGACAAGAACAGCAAGAAGATGGCATACAATGCTGTCTGAAGGCTAAGTATGAAATAAAAAGAACATTAATATATCAGCGGCCTAATTAAACTCTACAAGGAATAAGATACAAATCATGCAAACCTGGTGAGCCAATTTAAAGTTATTTAGGGTTACTTAGATTACAAATAAAAGTGTTTTTTCAAGTAGGTGGAGGATTATGTCCTAGTTTCCCTGCACTACACCTGTGGGCTGGATATGTGATCTAACCTTACAAACATTATAAGGAAGGTAAAACCTATTTACCTGAGGAAGAAATGTCCATAACGTTTCCATTTTGTCTTAACCAACATTCTAACCACTGGATGTTGCAAAGCCTCCTGCAATTCAAAGTAAGTCGGACAGAATCTTAGGGGCAACTACAAATCTATCATACCAGCTTGGCTTTACCCAGTAATCAATTTTTCACTGTTGAGGACAGTCTCTCCAATTTTTTTTGTCCAAAGGCAAACCACATACTTCATGCACATTAATTAAAATCAAGATTTACCTTATTGTTACTCTTGGCAATCATGTTTAAGCATGATGTATCTCTCTGGTTGAAATATTTGTTATCTGACTCCATGTGTCCTTCTGATAACATAACTTTTGGAGGTCTACCACCGCCATCACCATCCAAGATAGCGTAATGAAAATAATAATTCAATGGATCCTCTGGGATTGTCTTCCAGACTCCTTCGATTCCCTTCTTTTCTTCTTGGGAGACATAACTGTCCTTGCGTTTTGGAAGGTAAGGCCAATGAGGGTTCACCATCTGGTCTAATGCAGCCACTACTGTTTTCTGTTGACATAAGTCATTTACCACAAGACATTGAAAAAAATATCTTCTTCTATGTTACAAAAGAACACATTTGCATTTTAAATAAATTTCACTATACATTGCAATCTATGCAGAGGGGCCATTAGTTGTAACATCTTTCTTACAGTTGTATGTCTATCTCTGAAAACTGAGTTGTGGAAATCATTATCAAAGCAATTAGTGGGCATAATAGATGAATTCAAGGTTGGGAACATCAATCAATATTTTTAAAGCAGAAGACACACCTTACGACGGATGCAAAGCATTAATTAGGTCATGTTTGAGGTATTGATTAATAAGTGTTCAAACTGCTTGAGTTTAACAACACAATTCTACATCAATTACTTTAATTTTTAACTTAACTTTTCCAAGTAATTCAATGGGAAAGAGAATGGTTATATAATCCCCTTGGATGGCAAGCTGGTAGATTATATAAGCTGTACAGATCACAAATTTTATTGATACTTAGCTATAAATTAATATTGCCAGCATTGTTTTGCAGGAGTATTGATCATGTGGTCCTATTAAGTCTCACCTTCATTTTAGGATTCTCAATGATGGCCTGAAAACTGAAGAGAGATGGCTGTGGATTTGACAGGTCTTCTGGTCTCCAAGAAAATAAACTTGTAACACTATACGCACAGAGAAATTTGAATATGACAGAGTCATTATCAAGTGGTGAGAATGTAGATAATTTGGTGAGTGGGTTCATAGAACTATGAGTAAAAGATGAAATGTCTAAAAGAATACAGTTAAGTAAGATTCAGGAAAATGGAAAACAAAATACTATAAGAACTGATAAATATATGGATACATATATTCACTGTAAAAATAGGAAATCTTATTATAGTAAGTGACTAATATGAAATTTTCTGCACCATTTAGTCCTATATAGGGGCTTAATCTTCTTTGTGTAATCTGTATGGTGAATAACAGAAGAACCATAACCAGAGAGTACATCCATCTTGCAACAAGCAGTGGACAACAAAATACCTCTTATGCCACATTGCTCTAACCAAATAAGCTGCCACGTCATCATTCTCTGCATTCAATGCCAACTCAACTGCTAACATGGCTCTTTTTTCCTTGGGTTTTATTTGAATTTCTGTTGTTGCCTCCAGCAGACCAGGACATTTCTTTATGAGTGTTTTGGTGATTTGTAAAAACCCAGCTTCAGCGGAATAGTGCAGCAAAGTTTTCTTCAATTTGTCTTCTTCATCTTTGAATAGCTCATATTTCTTTCCTGAGTTTAGTTCACTATCTAACATTATCTCCAAAAATTGATTCACCTGCAAACGACATGCATTTAGAAATGCAATGAAATTCCATAAACTTGCATTATAATTTAATGGAGAGATGCAGGACTATGCTGTCCACTAAATTCCCAGCCCTTCAAAAATTGTTTAGTATGCCTTTTAATCAAAATAGGAAGTAAAATTGAAAAACGGCAAACCACTACTGGATGCTACTTCCCTGCACATTTACAAGTGTATAAACATACTTTCTTTTCAGCATTCTCATATATTCAACGTAGCGGCTTTTCAAGGCCTGGAAGTTTGTCAGGTTTATTCTTGTACTGTTTAGATGCTGGCCAATGTTTTAACATCGTAAGTGCTGGGTCTTCACTGTCCAGTTCTCCATTGTCTTTGTAGCTCTGAATAAGTCTTTCAACTCGAACTTCATCCATAGCTCTATCCCATGGCAACCCTTTACTCTGCTTTTCATGAACCTGCATAAAAATTATATATAATTGTGTTTAAGCTTTTTTCCACTAACAGAGCTAATCCGTAATGAGTTACTGAAAATTTGGAAAGGTTAGGTCTTCCTTGAATTGTTACCATCATCCAAAACTCTCTTGATCTGTAAAACTCCCCATCCAAGAGATCCGCGTGATCATTACGTTCAATTTGAGATCGCCGATCGTCATCATAATTTCCTTCGTCACCACGCTCCAACAACTTTCCCTTTTCCATCCCTCAACCGATTTATCATCAGCTGGAGAAAAAAACAGTAAGTTGTATGTGTGACAATGTCTAAATTTTCAGCAGAAGTAAACTACCAATTTCTACAAGGCTTATTCGCAGACGGTGCAAGACGGCGCTGCACTCGCTCAGTTAGCAACCAATTGCGCATGTCATCATCTTTCGGAGGTTCTCGTTCCCAGGGTCCTTGTCACACTTGGTCAGGGGCGAGAGAGCCAACCCGCAAGGCCAAGGAAAAGCTCAAAGTGTGTTTATTTATCGTGATTTCTATTTTAACAACGTACGATTTCTCTCTTCTTTAAACAAGTTTTCGTTCGAGTAAAATTGCATTAAGAGATCTGACGTAAGTTGAAGGATCGATCAACTGAAGCCTTACAAAAAAAAATTTTTGATTATTTAAAAAATCTCGAGTTAGATATTTGAGTGTTCGAACTTAGCTATCTTTATATTACGTGGCTTTCATGAAGCAAGATACGACCCTTTTTCAGCTTAATTTTTTTATTTAGAACGGCTTGCTTCGTGTTATTGTTAGGTTATATGGTATATTTTAACTCCTTTCTAACAAAAGATTCCAAAATGTAAGCTGTAAGCGATTTACGGCTGTGTTTTACGGCTGTGTTTTATCTGTGCTTAATTAAAAGTAATTTTTTTTTCTTCCTTTCCATATGTGGGCAAATTGAAACCGAGAAAGACATAGTTTAGATCATAGAGAGTCCATATCTCCTTCCACTCCTCTATAATAGGCCCCTCCCTTCTGGAACCCTGAAAAGTAGTAGGTCCCTTGTGGTGGTTACCATAGAGTTTAGTAAAGATAAAGAAAAGCGAAGAGTTTAAAGAACGTAGCATTCGAGCGTGCAAAGGAACGAGGCGAAGTCTCTATGCCGGTTAAGATCCCTTTGCAAGTTCCAACTCCCCCTCCCCGTTTTTTGAGGTAGAGGACCACATGATAGGTCGGAGGCAATCACCCGTATCACATAAATTTCTCTTTCCAGTTTCCCGTATCTATTCAGGGATGTCTTTGGTTAAGCTTATCTAACAGTTATCGAAAATGACCCTTTTCATTCTAAGTTGAGGTGCCATTTTGCATTAGTTTGGGTGAGATAATCAAACAACTTTCCAACTTTCAGTCAAGAAAAATGTAAGGTGGTCGAAAAACTTCAAAAATGGATAAGAATGTTCTCGTCTTTTTTCTTTTCCTTAAAGCTTAAATTAGTTGATTACACAATAAAAAAAGGTTCCTGGAGCATATCACCTTTGTTATGCATGTTTAAGTAAAAACACCTATTTGCAATACAATTGTCCTAAAAAAATAAAAATAAAAAAGCTAAATTATAGTAATTTATGACCATATAACTGAAAATAACTTCTGGCTATATTCCCTACAACTAAACGATTTTCACAAAGTTTCCGCTGAAAACCTATTTCAAATTTCTTGACATCATCAGTTGATTTTCTAGAAATTTCAAGAAATTTTAAAAATTAAATAAAAACATAAAGACATTTATATGCTAATGCCGTATGCTTTTACTATATGCTAATTGATTCGTATTTGGCTTTTTCCTTTTCCTCTCTGCTGTTTTCTAAGACAATAGGCCCTTTGCAGCT